CTATATCTTTTGATAGCCGGGCACCATCAGCCTTCTTCATCACTTTTACTTATGCACCCATTTGTCTTCAGAGTCACCTTTCTTTAGAATGGGTACAAATATGGATATCTTTCAGTCACTTGGCCAAGTAACTGTCTTCCACATTTCCTGGCATAGACTAGTAAGTGCTTCCAGTGCTTCAGCTGCTTGTTGAAAATTTAGTAAATTGGTATTCCATCAGATCCTGGCATCTTGCTTTTGACTAATGCTTTCAGTGCATTGGACTTCTTCCTTCAGCACCATTGGTTCTTGCTCATGTGCTACCTCCTGAAGTAGTGGAGTGTCCTCTGGTTCTTTCTGGTGCAGTGACTCTGTGTTCTTTACATTTTCTTTGAATGCTTCCTGCATCACTCAATATTTTTGTTCATAGAATCTCGATTGCAACTCGAGGCTTGAATGTTTTTCTTGAGTTCTTTCAGGTTAAGATATGCTGAGCACGTTCTTCTTTTTTGGTTTTCTAACCTTAGGTCTTTGAACATTTCATTATACTATTTTACTTCTTTTTTCTTGAGCTGCCCTTTGAAATTTGCTATTGTTTTTTTTACTTCATCAATTCTTCTATTTGCCTTAGCTACTCTACAATTGAGGGCAAGTTTCAAAGTCTCTTCTGACATCCACTTTGATCTTTTATTTCTTGCCTGTCTAATGACCTCTTTGCCTTTTTCATTGATGATGTTCTTGATGTCCTCCCACAGCTTATCAGGTTTTCTATCATTAGTGTTCAATGCGGCAAATCTGTTCTTGAGATGTTCTCAAAATTCGGGTGGTATAGATTCAAGGTTGCATTTTGGCTCTTATGGACTTGTTTTTCATTTTCTTCAGCTTCACTTGAGCTTACATATGGGCACTTGATGGTCTATTCCACAGTCCGCCCCTGGCCTGATATTTTAGCTACTGATATTGAGCATCTCCATGGTCTCTGCTCACAGCTGCAGTCAGGCTGATTTCTGTGTGTTCCGTCTGGAGACGTCCATGTGTGGAGCAGCCGTTTGTGGTATTGAAGAAAGGTATTTTCTACGAACAAGTCATTGGACTTGCAAAATTTCATCATTCAATCTCCACCTATTTTTCTATCACCAAGACCATATTTTCCAACTACCGTTCCTTCCTCTTTGTTTCCACCTTTTGCGTTCCAATCCCCAATAGTTATCAATGCACTTTGATTGCATGCTTGTTCAATTTCTGACTAAAGCCCTTGGTGGCACTCTTCCTTTCTTCATCACCAGCTTTCGTGGTTGGTGCATACACTTGAATAATAATTGTGTTGATTGTATGTCCTTGAAGGCAGATAGATACGATCCTATCACAAACAGCGTTGTACTTCAAGATAGATCTCAAACTGTCCTTTTTGACAATGAATGTCTTAAAGCCATTCCTCTTGATTGTGTTATTCCAGGCACAGTAAATCATATGGTTTTCTGATTCAAAAGGCTCACTAATGCTGAAGATCGATTTCATTTTTGACTACTTAAAATTTTCCAAGATTCATACTTCATGCATTGCAAGGCCTGATTAGTAGATTTTTGCAGCTGTTTCTCCTTACCTTGAGTTGTGCCCTATCAGCCAATGAAGATCTCAAAGCTTCACTCCCGCAGGCTTGACTCCATTTCCATGACTCTCTGCAGTCTCATTTGGAGTACTTTCCCACCCGAAGGACCCATCGTCCACACTCTCTCTGACAACGTTCTCCTTCCCTTCACAAGGCCGCCTGTTTTCAGTGGCTGCTGCCTCCGAAGTGGGCAGTCCGTTCCTTATTCGGAGTCTGTTCTTAGTCTGGAAGCTGTGGGTGACCCTGCTGGCCGTGGAATTACCCATAACATCGCTTCCAGCATCACAGCTACACACAAGCCACCGCGGTACGACAAACTGAAAGGCAAGTGATGGGAAATAAATTGTAGTACTTTTAATCATGGTGCTTATAAGCAATAGAATACTTTGCATCCATTAAAAATAACAGAAGGTCAGACTTGACCTGCAGGGAAATTTAAAAATGTATACTGTGGGATACACACAGTATGCTGCTGTTTGTATAAAAGTAGAAGATGCAACTATATGTGAAAATAAGTACTAGTACACAATAGTTGGACAATAAATGAGAATGGAAACGCTTAGAAAATGTCTGGGAGAAACAGAACCTGGAGGCCATAGGATTCAACTTCTCATTCCACGCCCTGCACTGCGTGATTCTAAAGAAGTCGCAAACTCCCCGGCATGTGCTCCCGGCCACCGCCTGGCGAGGGCGCTGGAGCCCCCGGAGCCTGGTTTACGTACCTACCTTTCCAAGCGAGCCGACGTCGTGACGTCAGCACGACCTTCCCCGGCGCACGCGCAGGAGCCAGACTCCCAGGCGCTGTCGAGCTGTGGGCTCCTGACACTTCCGGCTCGGCGTCCCGGTCCCGCAGGGCGGCCGCGGCTCTGGCGGCGTGGGGACGTTTGGCGTTGGGTGGGCGGCATCCGAGCGCCCACATGAGCCACTGGCATAAAGCGCGCAGCGACTGGGCCCAGGCACGCGTCTTCCCGGGACATTGCGCACCCAAAAAGAAGGGCAAAAACCACATCCCCGAAAGGTAACGTGCCTCGAACCCGGGCGGGGTGCTTGTGGCGCGCGGCTTCGGGGCCGGGGCTGGGTTCCTGCGGCCTCCCCCCCTGCCCCTCGGCCTGGGCGCTGGGCGAGCCCGCGTCCGGCCCGGAATCAGTGACCCCTCCCGCCCTCGTGCGCGGTACCGGCACCCGGCGACGGCAGTGGCGGTCTGCGCTTTGGAAGGACTGCCCCGAGGGGGACGCCCCTTGGTTCCCCCAAACGGAGGTCCCTCAGTTCTTCAGGCTGTGCCACTTCGATCCAGAAAATGAATAATAGGCAGGACAGCCCCCCGCCCACCCCCCACCCCCGTTCTCATCGAAAGTTATCTGTGATTCTTTTGCACGAGTCACGGCGATGGGCAGGCAAGCTGTTGCTTTTAATAGGGCCATTGGAGAGCTCTTCCTCCGTACGTTCAAATGACTCATGTTGAGACTTGGCTCGCATGCACAGTACACACACACACACAC